GGTCTGTATATTTACTCTGTGGTCTGTATCTTTACTCTGTGTTCTGTATCTTTACACTGTGGTCTGTATCTTTACTCTGTGGTCTGTATATTTACTCTGTGGTCTATATCTTTACTCTGTGGTCTGTATATTTACTCTGTGGTCTGTATCTTTACTCTGTGGTCTGTATCTTTACTCTGTGGTCTATCTTTACTCTGTGGTCTGTATCTTTACTCTGTGGTCTGTATCTTTACTCTGTGGTCTATCTTTACTCTGTGGTCTATATATTTACTCTGTGGTCTGTATCTTTACTCTGTGTTCTGTATCTTTACTCTGTGGTCTGTATCTTTACTCTGTGGTCTGTATATTTACTCTGTGGTCTGTATCTTTACTCTGTGGTCTGTATCTTTACTCTGTGTTCTGTATCTTTACTCTGTGGTCTGTATCTTTACTCTGTGGTCTGTATATTTACTCTGTGGTCTGTATATTTACTCTGTCATCTATTTTCTGTATTTCCTAACTTAGAAGGTTTTAAGAAAAACTAAGTCTGACTGACTTCAGTTATGGTTGATAGAAACACAGCCTGAAGGATGAGGATGAGTCTCAGAGGCCATCATGGATGAAGACGGATCTGAACTGTATGGATCTGATGTTCCTCCAAACCTGAACCTGAAGTCTGAGACTTAAAACTCATCTGTTCTGAGAAGAGTCTGACAGAATCCCACAGCTGTGGAAGACCTTGACTTAATGGTTCAGGTTCTGATGTCCCATAATGGGATGATTCCAGTCTCTGATAGTCCCTATTGAGGTGGTCCAGGTTCTGATAACCCAGGTTTTGATGGTGCAGGTCTGTCTGTGTGGTTGTGATGCTTCCACAGAAACCAGTTCCCTCACTGGTGGGACTCAGAGCAGCACACACACCTGCTCTGGAGCTTCCTGATTGGTCCTCCTCCTCCTCCTCCTCCTCCTCCTTCATCCCTCCTTCCCCTTCTCTCTCTCTCCTTTTATGACCAGGCCCCGCCCCCCGCTGTGATGTCAGAGACTTGGAGGAAGACCCGTGGGGTTTTTGGGTTTTGGCGTCCAGTCCTGTGGGGCCGCAGGGCTGAGAGTTTCTCCTCCATCCCGGGCCGCCTCTCCTCCTCTCTTTGGGGAAAAGAAAAAAGACTTTGTGTTCGATTCCGGAGCCGACTCTGTTTTTCTTCGGCTTTTCTCTGAGGATTTTATTTCTTTTTCCTCCTCCTCCTCCTTCCTTCCTGTCTCTGAGGGTTTCATGTCACAAGACTGACAGTTTGTAAAAAAAAAGAAAAAAAAAACTTCAACACTGGTTTTTTTTACTTTTGTTCACAGAAAAGTTGAAATAAACCAGAAAAACAAAAACAAAGTTCTACAGGAAATAAAAACTAAACCTTCAACAGATTTTATCCACTTTTTTTGTTCTTCTTTTCATCTTTTTCATGTTCTTTGATTTGCCTGATATTTTTGGAGAACGGTGGAGCAGCCCGACGATCCGGTTTGTCCCGTAGACCCTCGGTTCTTCTGCTGGACTTCGGCTCTTTTTCTTCGGCTGATTTTTCTCGCTGTGCTTCTGCGGCGGAGATGTTCGGTATCCAGGACAACCTGCCCCGGGGGGCCACGGCCAACATGAAGGAGGAGCCCCTGGCCGTCCGCTCCTGGATGCACTCGGCCGGCGTGGTGGACGCCAACACGGCCGCTCAGAGGTAAACTCTGGAGGGCTCCCAGGGGATTCTGGGAGCTGTAGTCTCTGCAGAGAGTCGGCTGCTGTCAGATATGATGCAAAAAGATCCTGTTTACTGGAGATTAATGTTTATTATTTTTCTGCAGCTGCAGAGAAAAATGCTGTGATAGTTTTACATTTTTCTGCAAATTTAAAAACTGGCATTAAAAATGTTATTAATTTTCTGCAAATCAAAGTATATATTTTTTGCAATTAATTAAAATTAGTTACAAGAAATGATTCATTTTTATTGTTTCTAATAGTTTGAGTTGCAGAAAATCAGAGATTAAATGTTTTTCTTCTCTGAAGATTAAATAATAAAGATGAGAACCAAACATTTTCTATCTTAAAGATGTAAATAAAAACAAAACAAGTCAAATTTTAAATTGTTTTATTGAAGCTGAAAATTCAGGATAAAATATTTGATTATTTTCTGCAGCTCAGACTTTAACCAGTGACCGGGACTCGTTCGGACCGCCGCCAGTCTGAGCTGCACAGATTCTGACCCCCCCAACATCTGGGAAAAAAAAAAAAAACATTTGGAAAAACAAACAAAAAAAATCTGGAAATAAAATAGTGAACATCTGGAAGAACAAAACAAACATCTGGAAATCGAACCTGGAACATCTGTAAACGCTCCGGTTCTGTCGGCAGACTCAGATTCAGAATCTGTTTTTCCTCATC